TAAAATAATTTCATTTTGAATTTTGTGATTTGAGCTTTGAGTCCCACACACCAATATCGATAAGGATGTTTATAAATATACAATAATATATATTTATAAAATTTAATGTTTTATATATATATATATATATATATATATATATATATATAATGTTTATATATAAGTTTTCAACGGAAAATTTTGAGCTTGTCACTATTTTGTATGTGTAGCTACTCTACTACTTACAGATTTAAAAGAACTCGATTGTTTCTATTCAAACTTAATATTTGAGTTAAAATTTACTTATTAAGTAAAAATGATTAATCGAATTTCATAAAAAAACTTCCAGAAATCATAACTCATAAATACAGAAGCTTGATTCTGTCAATGATATCAGCTACCTCCAGTACTACGATCTTTAATCTCAAGTTATTGTATTTTATATAATTTGTGTTTGTATAAATCGAGAAAGACAACTATTTGGTGTACCCCTATCATTTTGAGGCAAGACATGTTAGCAGGTTTTTAAGTGAAGAAACCTCTCTTCTTTGTTAGAGTTTTCAGATTGAAAAATTTGAAGGAAAGAAATGGATCACTAATATGGGTTAAAGGTTTTTAAAAAAAAAATAAAAAAATTGGGTGTTTCTTTTGAAATTTAGGTGGGTCTTTATTAGGGTATTTTTTTTATTATTTAACATCTTTTTAGAATTTTGATTTAATTTTAAAAAAATTATGACGTGGACGAATTGTAACTTGCCACGTGTAAACACCGTTAAAAATAGCATGAATGAGCCTTTTCTAAACGGTAATAACATAGATGAGCCAACTTTTAATCGATGACATAAATGAGTCTTTTCTGAAAGTTTGATGGCATATTTCAGCCTTTTTCCCTTTCCAAAAATAGTCTTCCCCTTTCTTGAAAAGATGTGACTTTTATGAAGAGTTACAACTCTTATGAAGACTTATCGGAAAATAATCATCGTCTTTCATGAAATGATTGACTTTTATGAAAAGTTGTGACTTTTATGAATAGTTGCGACTTTAATGAAGAGTTGTACATTTATGAAAAGTTGTGACTTTTATGAAAAGTTGCAACTTTAATGAAGAGTTGCGACTTTTATGAAAGATTATGATCTTTTTAAAGGGTTACAACTTTTCTAAATAGTCATAACCTTTCCGATAAGATACAATAAATATTTGTTCACACTACCATTTGTTTTCACTAAATAGAGGTATTTCCTCTCATTTTAAAACAACGAAAAATTGTGAACCTCTTTTTCTTTTCCTTCTTCTTCACAATTATATGATTGTGTATTTTGCTCATGTTGAATGGCTCAGTGACACCATTGCTTATGTTAGAGATATTGGTATGTTTTTCATCGTCATTAATTTATTCTTACGTTATTATGTTTAAATGATAAGATTTAATAATTTTCATTTTCCTTTACACTTTTATGTAAGATAATATAGTGTTTTAGTTTTAGTGACCGATAGATTTTAAGTATTATTAAATTTTCGCGCAAAGCGTGGATAATTTTATGCTGATTCTTTAGGTAAATTTTCATCATGTTCATTTTCTATGTAAATTTACGTTGACTTTTTCCTTTACTTATAGGTCAAAGTCTCATGTTTTCAAAAAAGAAAATGAATGTACAGTCAAAATCTAATTTATTTCTTTTACTCAATAAAAATCTAGTACCTTATCTATTTTTTTTTATAACTGTTATTCTGGGTAGCATGGATCTTCACCCTTCATCAATTGAGTAATTTTTATTTTTAGTAAGTAAAATCATTTTTTCATGAGCGGAATTTGGATTGCAGTGAACCTGTGTACAAATAATTGTTGTTGCAATGAAAATGTATGCAAGTTATTTATTAATCTTCAAATTTATGACTCATCTACAAAGTATTTTATATTTTACTATCCTCTTCTTTCAATTTAAAATGTACCCTAGCAACTCACAACTATTTCATAACATTACAATGGTATTTTGAAATCGAAAAGTAAAGTAGAGTTCATTACATAAATTTTCTATACGCCTGATTAAATTTATGCAATTTTTAATTTCAATTTCTTTTGCATTACTACAAATTATCCAACTTTTAGGTGTTTCTACTATGCTCATTGTTGCATAAGTGTAGGAGATGAGAAGTGGTTTTATTACCTCCTTGGCAATGTGCTTTTTTGTAATTTTGCTTGCGAATCTAATATAACATGTTGATAATAATCAGTTTTAATGAGAGGAAATCTCAACTTTAAGAACAAGTATTATAGAATGTATGTCATATAATCATCAAATGAGACGAGATATATCACATATATTTTGCATTTCCTTCGGCCATACAAAAAATCTTTATGGTAAATGATGTACAAAGTAAAAAAGATAACTACAGCGGGTAAACTTAATAAGGATTATTACAAAGTTTGTAAACATGCATATGCAGTGAAAGAAGGATATATTTGGAGTTTCTCAGTTTGCTTACTCTTCTGAATTTTGACCGTTGAAGCCTCATTGAATTGTGAAGGCAGATTGTTTTGGTTGACAAGTGATTTTGTAGGCCGTAGTTTGAGACTCGGAAAAACATGGGCTCATTGTGGTCAGCTGTAATTTGAGACAATCAAGCAAGATAACAAGTAAAAAGAAATAAAGGGCAAGGAAATAGTGGTTGGCATATAAGCTGACATATGCAAGGAATTTGAAGTAGTGCACTTCAACCTTTAAAATTTGAAGGCATAGCCACATTGCATGAAGCTTGACAATTTTAATATCCTCGAGTGAGGTATTGACTTTACTTTGCATTATATTTTACAATTTTAAAACACGTAAAATGATATGTTTATTCCACTTTGTTCAGTATTGAAACGATGAAGGGTAGTCGAAATTTCACTGTTTGTTTGCACTTTTTTGTTTTTTAATAAATAAAGTTACAATGCTCAAAACTCATTAATTTGTGAGGACGGACTGTACGGATAATAGGCGAGTTCACATGTCGTAGGTTTTTTTTTATAAAACTAATTCATAATTGTTTAGTTTTTTTTCATGTTTATGTTGTAAGTTCACATAAAGTCATAGTTATTCAATATACATCTCCTCAAAACACTAAATCAAATAGGCTAAGAATGTAACATATTGACAAACTTTTGTAAATTAGAGATGGTTCATTCGGCAGAGTTGACGTAATCATTTCCACGTATGCTACTACGCACAAGCACTGGTGTAGTAAAGTAAGGACATTATTTCCAAATTCACTCATATTTTAATATAGAGGAAGATAACGAAAAAACTTGAGGCAAAAAAAGTATTTTAATAAGTGAAAATAGAAAATATTTGCATTGTAAAAGTATTAATTGAAATATTTCTAGCAAATGGTATTTAGGTTATATTTGAAAAGAATTAAGATAGTCAATGTTTTATCACATTTTTAAAGATTCATTTGCTAGTCAATGTTTTATCACATTTTTAAAGATTCATTTGCTACTTAGTAAAAATAAATAGGAAAAAGGGTCAAAAATACCCTTGAACTATAGTAAAAGGTCTAAAAATACCGTGCATCCATTTTTATGTCTAAAGATACTCTTCTATTCACCTTTTTCGCTCACTTATACCGTTGAAACTAACAATTCTCTCTTTATTTTTTATTTTTTATAAATACTTATTACGTGTCATTCTTCTATGGGATAGTATAAAGAGTCCACCTCAATTAGATTATTTATCATTATTTATTCAAACCATAACAATATACTTCTTCAAGACCCTATTTTTTTATAAGAAAAATATTGTAAATTTTATTACTCATTTATTTTTGGATCCAACTCCTCTCCATTTTCTCAATCTTTTACATGGATTGAAGATCCATGACAAAAGAAAAAATTAACGACTAATATTTAATTAATCAATCAAGACTCTAAAGATGATATAGATCACAAATATTTTATTTAAAAAATTATTATATCATACTAATACCAATATATTATTTTATCCACAAATACATTATACATATTTTTGGCTATTTTCCTACTAAAAATTTTCCTATGTCTACGGCCATCCATTTATTTATTTTTCTTTCATCTTTTTTAATGAGTTAATCGTTTAAGTAAAATTATTTGTGAATCTTTTTCTTTAAAAAGTAGTTAAAAAAAATAAGTTAACAATTTTTCTATTTATTTATTTTTAAAAGGGAAGATAGATATTGTGGCACTACTAATATTTTTATAATATATTAATTATTTTTAAAAAAAAAGTTAAATAAATAAATTAGAGAAAATAAAAAATTACTAAAATTTTTTTAAAAAATTGGGGTCTTGAAGATGTATATATATGTATATATATATATATATATATATATATATATATATATATATATATATATTATTTAAATAGATTATGGAAAAATAATTAATAGAGATGAGATTTTTATTTTATCTAATAAAAAAATGATATAGAATAAATTTTAAAAAAAAATAATTTTGAGTTGTTTGTTATAAAGGTATAAGTTAGTCAAAAAAGTGAATAAAAGATATAAGTGAGCCAAAAAGGTGAATGGAATGGTATTTTTAGACCAAAACATGGATGAAGGGTATTTTAAAACCTTTTCATATAGTTCAAGCGTAACTTTGACCCTTTTTCAAAATAAATATAAATTACAAGAGTAGCATTTTATAAGTTGGAGTGTTTAATTAACATGAAGGAGATGAATTAATCATTTAGATATAAAGACCTTAAATCAGAGTATTTATTAATTTAACATTTGAAGTCAAGCTTAAGTGTATGTCTATATATGATCCCGCAAAAATGTAATAACAGCAATGTGATAATATTTTCATATTCTATCAAATAAAGGTCACAAGCATAATGCAGAATTGTATTGCTGTAAAAATATCTATTTTCATGGATTCAAATTAGTCAAACCCAACATAATTAAACATATATTTTTGTTATATTAGATTAAAAATCGCAACTCTTTACATGTTCTTGAATGTACTGCTCGAAACCAAAACAAGTAAAAATATCTTTTGACAATGCAAATTAGTATCATGAACGATTTTGAAGGACTTGCTGAGACATCAATTCAAATGTGAAACATTGTTTAAAAAATGTAAGTTAATAGAGATAGTTGGCGCGGTTAGTTTACCTAGTTATAATTAATACATAAGTATTTATTCAAAGTAAGTAAGTTTTGTAGCAATCTAGAAACTAATCGTTAATAATAAAATTTAATGGGATAATATTTTCAACAAACCTACTAACATGTCTTGATCCAAAATCGTAAGAAAACACCAAATATGTTGAGTTGCTAATAAGGCTCGAAGTTGCCAAAATGGATTTTGGATCCATTGTTCTCTTGTCAACGTTTTCTGCTTCAAGAAAGGCAAGTTTCTCCTCCACTGCATCGGAATCATATTGAAATTTAGTGAAAACCTTATTGACCTCATCGTACACCAAATTGCAGTTTTTAGGTTGGTCAGGTGGGTACACAATCAACTTTCCGCATAGTGCAGTTTGAATTTCACTCACTCGACTCTTGTGTGGAGGTGAAAGACTTCCAAACTTCTCATTGGTTACGTTGAAATAAGTGATGGTATTTAGGTCACGGGAAGTCCAATAAAACACCCCATTGACAAAGACACAATCACAATAGCAGTTGTAAAGTTTACTAGGGCTGTTTTCATCGCAAATTCTTCTCCATGATGTGTTGGTTCCTAGAGTTCGAATCTTCAAACATGGCCTTTTCTTGTAGTAAATACGATCGCGAAGCAATTTGTATCTTTTTATGTTGGAATCATATCCCAGATACAAACGTGCAAAAACCCAATCACTTTTATATCCCAACGAGAATGGCAATGCTTTTATTTCTCCTGTTGTTATGTTATACAAGTAACCTTGACTCTCTTTACGATTATACAAACAAACAAGACCATTGCAATGATTTGAACATATATGAAAATTCTCCCTGTGGTGAAAATAATTAAGAGGACCAACAAGTTGTAAAGGGAATTTTTCAAGATGTGCTGTGGACTTACCAATATTCGTGTGGTGTGGAATTAAATAAGGTATTTTTATACGTACTTCAAATAAGAGGCGGGGACGATAGATAGAACAACGAGCAATGTGGTAATTCACAAAGTTGACATCGTATCGTATCAAACTGTTCAAAGATTTCGAAACACATTTAAATCTCATAAGAGACTTGGCTGGTAGCCACGTTAGTATCTCGAATATAATGTCATCTACGAAATCATGTATACTCCTTCGACATCGTTTTTGATTACTTTGTGGTGTATTGAGTGCTTGCTTTTCACCTTCCATGGCTATGGAAAAGAGAAAACAAAACAAGAAGAGGGAACATATTAAATTTAACAAATTAAGGCGTATTTGTATTTGGTTTTGGTTTACTACTTTAAGGATACCTACTATTTAAAAAAAGGATGACCTAATTTGAATTGAAACGCAGTTTAAGAAAAGAAGCTAGACTTTTTAATCTTGAAATTTAAATTAAAATTAAGTATCAAAATGCCTTATAAAAAAGGAAAGGGATCGAAAAAACAGATGGAGTATTTATCAGTGCTCAAAGAATCTAATTCAGAAAAGAGTTGCACTAATTGGACAACTAATAAAAGAATTAGACAAATTAAACTTTTAATTATGATTTTCAAAATGTCTTTCATTCTTACGCCGTCTTTGCATCTACTATATATTTGATTTTGGAGTCCTAAGCCAAAAGCATAATTTTTCTTTCGGAAAACATAAAAGGCATATTTAAAAAAATTAACTAAAAGGGGAGCAATTTTCTTCTAACAATTATTGACGTCGTTACTCTAAAAAAAAAGTTCTGTAAAATTGCTGATGTGGCAGTGATTTTGTCCAAAAAAAATATTTGCTTTTCAAACGTCGTTGCCCTTGCAACATTTTTCTTGGTTTTTTTTTTTTAGAAAAATGAAAATCGCTCCTACTACAGTGATTCTCTTTAAGAATCTTAAAAATAAATCTATAAATCGCTAGCCAAGGAGCGATTTTATCGGGAAAAAATTTGAAATTTACTGTGCATATTTTATTAAAAAATTCATTTTATGGCCGCCTTAGATTTTCTTAAAAGGATAAAAATAAAAATCAAAGTGACAGCCATGGTTAAAAAAAGGGGTTTTGCAAATCGCTGCCAATGCAGCGATTTCAATTTTAAATTTCTGTTTTTTATTTTATAGAAGGCAGCCATATTTTGGTCTGAAAACAAAAATTTTCAGAAGAACACCGTCTCTGCGACGGATCTTTCAAAACAAAAATTTTAGAAAAACGTTGCCCCTGCAACAATCTTTGAAAACAAATTTAACAGTATTAATATTTGTTAGAAGACGGAGCGATTTCACCCTTTTAGTAAAAAAATTTGATGTGCCATTTATGTTTTTCGAAAGAAAAAAAGTTACCCTCTTAGCTTCAAACTGTTTGATTTTGATAAGAGGTGCCTTAGTTCTGTACTGTAGGGGACGAAACCACTTTCTAATTAGTTGGTTGGTTAGTTAAAAGTTTAACAGCTGTCATACATAAGCGGTTAGATAACTATATGAAGCATATATAGCTACTGAAATAACAAATTCAATTCATTTACTACTCAACCGCTCCTCTCATTTTCTCTTAAGAGATATCTTCAAGCTTCATGGAATCTGTGTTGAATGTGTGTTTTTGCAGAAATATCTGAATGGAATCTGTGTTAAACAGTGGATGCATGTAATCAGTACAAGGCCTAGATATTGTTCAATATATAGCGTAGCTCCATCTTGATCAATATTTTCCTCATTCACGTCTCCATCTTGATCTGCATTTTCCTCATCAGTATCTCCATCTTGAGCAGTTGCATCTCCATCTTGAGCAGTAGCTAGCGCCTCCATCTTGAGCAGTTGTCTCTCCATCTTGAGCAGTAGCTAGCGCCTCCAGCTTGAGCAGTTGTCTCTCCATCTTGAGCAGTAGCTAGCGCCTCCAGCTTGAGCAGTTGTCTCTCCATCTTGAGCAGTAGCTGGCGCCTCCACCTTGAGCAGTAGCTGGCGCCTCCATCTTGAGCAGTTGTCTCTCCATCTTGATCCTGATTAGCACCCTAATCTTGTTCCCCATTAAACGAAGAAACAGTACATCATTCGATGAAGTAAGCATGTACAGATTCATAAAGAATCTTTTTTCTTTTTGATGAAGTAATTAGTTCTATTGCAAGCATCATTAATAGTTACAAAAGCTTAGTAGCTGACATGGTTCAGAAATGAATCAGGGCAATCTAGAGGGGATAAATAAACCCAACTATACAAAAACATGAGGCAGATAGCTTTTAAAGATTGGTAGGTAGTTGATATTCCATCAAAACATCTTCTATTCCTTTCTTTCCAGATACTCCAGAAAATGGCTGCAGGTATCATCTTCCAGATTCTCTTGATGGTGCTATCAACTTTCCATCAACCCCAGCTTTATCACAACATCCCTGATATTATGAGACATGACCCATTTGAGGCCAAAAAGAGCTCAAAACATACTCCACAAGTTTGCTGCTATTTCACATTGTAGAAATAGGTGGTTGTGTGTATCTAGTTCCTTCATGCACATATAACATCTGGTAGCTATCTGAAACTTCCTTCTCTGTTATTGCATTTTGTGGGCCTAGAAGCTTGAAAGCTGCTTTAACTGAGAACTTCCCACCCCTTTTTCTCCCCAGTTGAGTTGAGTTGCTCTGGTGTTCCACTGTTAATTGCAACACTGTGAAGTGCTGCTAGTAGGCTGACCAACTCCTCCATTTCCCCGTCCTGTATGTTCCTTCTGAGGATGATTTTCCAAGAATTCCCTTCTCTGTATTGCTGAATAGTAGAGTTAGGCTCCCTTGCTATCTGGAACACGTTAGGATAAGCAACCATTAAGGAGGAATTGCCTATCCATTTCTCTCTCCAGAAACTGATATGTTGTCCATCCCCTGCAATTAAGTGTGTGTGTTGAGAGAACACCTCCCATAATTTGCGTATACTTCTCCAGACACCAACTCCATATGGCGCTGTTGAAACATTAGAACACCAGTGGTTTAGTGCTCCATGTATACCAATAATCACATCCTTGCAAAGGCTATGCTCCTCTTGAGTGTATCTCCACGACCACTTCATAAGTATTCATAAAGAATCTTCCTTTTCTAACTACATGTCCGGTTGATGAATTCATGTAATGATTTTCCACCCAAGCATATATAGTTCCATAGTTATCATAGCCTCAATATATATAGTGTTTCATAATTAATTATTCATCTAATTGAGTTTATTGTTTGTTCTGTTCTGTCGCAGAAACATGACTGAAATCACACAAATGAAAAAAATTCAACGAGTCTACAACGAATCAATGAAGCTGTTGGACGAAAATTTGGGCGATTTACGCTTTTATAAGTACTGTTCAAGTTTTGATAAGACTGACTACATATACAGCATTATGGGTGACTGTCATGGCATCAACCGGCAGACACTCAAGTAAATAAGCTAATTACCATTTAGCTTGCTCATAGTTGCCAATAATAAATTCAAACTCACACTCTTTCTTTATTTTCTTTTCAGGAACAACTTGGATGGCTCAACCTCAACAGAGCAGGACGTGAGGGATGATATATCCTTAGCGCTGGGTGAAGTCTTTTGGGAGACGTTTAAGCGAGAGGTAAATGAATTTGATGTCGTGCATGCTTTTAACAGGCAGAAAACCACCTATTATTTCTTCACCAAAGAAGAAGAAAAATTGGTGATTTGTCTCGAGTTGAACCAACAAGCCTCGAAAAAAGTAGCTAAAATCTTGAAGGATGAATTGCCTTAAATTGAAGGAAATGTAGTTAAAGGTTTTGGGTTTGAGTTCTGGATATATAGAAAATTTTGTTGGGAGGCTAAAGATGAAATGTTTCCTTGATTAGGGGGGCAAATTGCAAAAAACTCGTTGAAAACAAGTTAATACTCTTCTTTACCAAGGGAATACTTTACGCAACCTCCTTTTTTCTTTTACTGTCTGAGCATGCAATTTTTTAGTTTGGTGTCCATTTTAAGGCTTACTTTAATTAACAAACATATTATATTTTTGTTTTCCTTTTTAGGAAGTTGGCTGATATAATTTGCTATAGAAATGAAATGTGATAGTTCATGTTAGATAATAAGTAATAAATATGGACATAGTGCTGCAGTCTGCCACTCAAAAAGTTTTATTAATTCACTTTCAGCAACAAATTAAGGCTACTGTTAAGCATAAATGATTCTATCAAGCAAGCATAACAGGCATCAGATAGGCTGATTGACACCCAAGTTCCTCGGACTCTCCAAAAATGTTGCCTCACCCATGTTGGATCCTTCAAAAATACACTATTTTTGGAGGATCCGACAAGCACCTATCAGCAACATAGATTGACACTACACTCAGTACATTACTACATTTATAGTGGACTTGTTTATATGTCTCTTCTTTTTTATAGCTTATATCAGTTGCAAAGTAAATATGCATATTTGCTAAAAAGAAGGTAATATGGAGCAGTCTATAAGCAAGAGCTACAAATCATGCCATTAATCATCTCCAAGATAGACTTAATGGAGGAACAGATGCAAAATTCACTAGTTTGGAATGAACTTCAGACAATACCAGCAATTCTAGCAAGTCAAAACTGGAACAAAGAACTGATTATACTAACCCAATATAAGGAATATGATACCATAACCAAAAACCAGAAAGGAACAAAAGAAAAACACAGAAGAACATTTGGTACCTGTTAACTTTTCTTTCAGATGCCGAAGTCATTTGTCTTTTCTCCACAAAATGTGTTCCGTCGAAGGACATAATCCCTAAGACCTCATCTATCAAGTCTATATAACTGCATAGTCAGTGCAATTACAAACCTTTCCTACCAAAAAAATTTAAGTCAGGAATGAGTTATTGAATAGGTCCACATACCTTATAAAATCAAGTTACAACTTCTAGGAACTTCTCTCATAACATCACAAGAACCAAGAAGCTCACATATTGCACCAGAGCACAATAATCATCCTGAATTGGTGTCTCGTACACTTAACCACACATGAACCAAGAAGTTCATATATTGCAGCAGAGCACAATAATCATCCTGAATTGGTGTCTCGTGCACTTAACCACACATGAACCGAGAAGCTCACATATTGCACCAGAGCACAATAATCATCCTGAACTGGTGTCTCCTGCACTTAACCACACATGAACCAAGAAGCTCACATATTGCACCAGAGCACAATAATCATCCTGAATTGGTGTCTCGTACACTTGACCACACATGAAGCAAGAAGCTCACATATTGCACCAGAGCACAATAATCATCCTGAATTGGTGTCTCGTACACTTGACCACACATGAAGCAAGAAGCTCACATATTGCACCAGAGCACAATAATCATCCTGAATTGGTGTCACGTACACTTGACCACACATGAACCAAGAAGCTCACATATTGCAAGCAGAGCTCAATAATCATCCTGAATCGGTGTCTCTTACAGTCAACCACAATTTGAGTCAGTATCTAAGCCACACTTAATCATCAAAGAGGCCAACTGGAACACAGAATTGTGATCACGGAAACTGTTAAGCATAAGAAAACAAATCTGTGAATCAACAGAAATGCCATGAAACAACATCATACGCAGAAAAATATCTACGCCAGCTAGTAAGTTTCTTTTGCACAACCTATTAATCACAGCACTATAATCTCTAATAGTGATTTCAAAGCCCTTCTCAATCATCTTTTGGAACAGAACTACTGCCTTATGCACTGATCCTTTTGCACAATATGCTTTTATTAGAATGGTGTAATCACATTTCATCAGGCCAACATCTTGGAGTTCAGAAAATAGTTCCTCAGCATCTTTTAGCTCTCCATGTGTACAATAACCATTAAGAAGAATGTTGTACGTGACACGACTTGGCTGAAGTTTGTGCACCGCCATCTCTTTATATAATTTGCAAGCGCCTTCTACATCGCGAGCTTCACATAAACTTTTAATAATGGTGTTGTAGAAAACTTCATCACGCTGAAAATCATCCGGTAACATACTCTTTAGTATCTCAATAGACTCATGCATTTGCCTTCTTTTACAGAGGCATTTCATTATCACTGTGTAAGTGACATGAGTTGGTTCTATGCCCCTTGCTTTCATTTCATCTAGCAATTCAAAAACAGTTTGCATTTTCCCTTCTTCACCATACGCATTCATAAGAGTTGTGAACGTCCTCGCTGATGGTATCAACCCATGTGCACATATAGTGTCAACCCACTTTCTTGCATCGTCTAACTTTCTGGCTTTGCAGAACCCATATATCAAGGAATTGAAAGTAGCTATGCTTGGGGTTATTCCTTTCCCTGTTATTAGTTTGTATACCTGAACAGCCTCACCGATGTCACCAAGTTTTGCATATCCGTCAATCATAATATTAACCAAGAAAATGTCATCTATTAAGTCGCAATATATTAAAGCGTCAAACAAAACTCTTGCCTCATATATGTACCTTTTCTCACAGAAGCTTTTGAGAATAGATCTATGAGCAACAATATTTGGAATAATTCTCTTACAACACATATCTTTGTACAATTGAAAAGCCATATCAACCAATCCTTGCTTACAAAGGCCTTGAATGAGAATAGAGTACATGATATGATCCAGTTTACGACCGTTGCTCTCTATCTCATGGAACAAATTCATAGCTTCATCTAGACGTCCGCTTTTACACAAACTGCTTAGTAACATGTTGTCTGAGATAGCACTGGCATGGACCCCCTCCTTCGAAAACATCTCCTTTCTCAACTTAATACTCTTCTCATCAATATTACCTTCTTTGCAATATCCACAGTTCAACATTGTATATGTGAAAATATCAGGATTCATGCCTTTATGAAGCATTTTATTAATGAACTTCCGGATACCATTCATCATACCAAGCAGATGAAATCCTTTGGCGAGGACGTTATAAGTTTCCAGATCAGGCTCTAAACCATGTTTCTTCATATTATCTATGAACTCCAATGCTTCTTCCATTGCACCCGCCACACTTAATCCGTGAATGAGAATATTGTAACTATATATATTGGGATAAAATCCACACTTAAACATCATACAAAAGAATGACTTAGCAACATCTACAGAACCCATTTTACAGAAACTCGACATAAGAGCATTGAAAGACACAACACAAGGCTCAGACTCTCTACATTCAGTCCCTCGAACAAAATTAACAGCTTTTTGAATCAAGAATTGTTTGCACAGACCATCTATAAGAATGGAATTAGTATGCTCACTCGGGTTTATCCCACTGTCTTTCATGTCATAGTAAACATCCCAGATGTAATCAGTATGCCTCAAATTATACAACAAATTATTGTATGTAAATACAGAAGCCTGGATATCGAAATCTTTCATCTTTGCAAAAACAAAGAGCGCATCATCAACCATCTGACAATGGGAATAAGCAGAAACCAGCACATCCCAGACAACATGATTAGAGTCCCATTTCTGAAAATGAATCAAAAGCAGTTCGCACATCGAATGAGCTGAACCAAAGCCTGGTTGGAAATCACAATAAATCTATATAAACAGCAAAATGAGCAATGTAAGAAGTACTCCCTAGTTACCCTACACTAATACTTGCACATATATATAGAGTTCACTAAAAAGAATGATTTAGCAACATTTACAATATCTTAGGGGAAAGTGGACAAGTAATACGAGTGGAAGGGAGAAACAAAAAAATAGAATTTTTACTTAAATAGCAAATAAATAAAATACCTTCTTGTTGAACCAAATGTTGTAAATGAATCTTCAAAGCTCTAAACCTCTGTTTTTTAGCCAAAACATGAGCAACAGCAATGTGTGAAGCTCTGGAATGATTAAACCCATAATCATTTCTCAATAAGAAGAAGAACTCAAGGGCAGATTCGGAATTTTCAAAGCTCAGTTTCTCAACAATGTCTTCAATTTCCGATGAATTTAGCTCCAAGATTGAAATTTTAAAACATGGGTCACCTCTTAAAATCTTTCCGGAGCCTTTAGTGCAATGATTTTGGAGAAAAAAGTTGAAGATTCTTGAAACTGCAGCTCTGGTGGTTGTGGTAGTTGGAGGTGGTGGTTCAGGGTGGTCGACGGCGAGGTTGGCGGTGGAGAAAGAGGGTTTATGGTGACGGAGAGCGGAGATTAATCGAGATTTTAGGGGTGATTTTAGCGTTATTCGAAGCATTAGGAGAAGAAGAAGAAAAACGGGAGATTTTTACAGAGGTTTAGGGTTTAAGAGAGAAAAAGAGGAATTATTGATTTTTGGAAGAGACAAAATGAAATGAAGTCTTCACACCTTTTTTTTTTGTCTTCTCTTTCCTTTTGCTAACTAATCTCGAAATTAATTTTAAAATAAGTTTATTTCATATTTGATTATGATAATATTGTCTCGTAACTAATAATGTTATTTTTATTCCACGTTAAGAATGAAATAACAATCATACATAATTATAAAAAATATGTTTTTTAACTTAGTTTTAACTATATTTTCGTCTTTCAATTTTGAATGTACACGAATAGACACTTAATTAGTATAAAATCGAACAAATAACCACATTCATTCTACGTCGAAATCCTACGTGACCATTTCATGTCTTATATGGTGTTTCAGATATATTGTGTCTATTTATTTAATTTTATACAAGTTTATATAACATAAGACTTGTTTAAAAGGATAGTGTTCTCATTTAATTTGCCAAGCTCGAAATTATTTTTTTAATTATTTTTATTGCATAAGGGTCGTAAGGAAGAGAGATAGGAGGGGGGATTATAAATTGTGGAATCGATTCATTATTAACAATTAATACATTGAAACTTTAGATAATTAATTAATTAATTGAACTACTAAGATTCCTGATCGAGAACGCTTTGGTTTTACTAATCTTTGTTAAAATATTGACTTGCAAGTTGGAAGGGGAAAATCATTTTCCAAAGATAGCACATATAATTACAAAATTACAAAAAGAAAATGCACAAAAAGGAAGGATGAAATGTATATATAGAGTGAGTATTAAGTCTTAGCAAATAAAGGCAACCCCATTACACTTGCATTGAAGTAACATTTGAACTAAAATCATAGTTAAAACCAAAAATGTTTTTCAAGCTTTATAACTCACTCTTTAACTCTAATTAGTTTTCTATAAAGTATTTTTGGGTGTTTAATGTTACATTTACAATATGATCATATATTATTATGCCTAGAAGTAGCAAATACATCATAGAGGAGGATGCAGACTTAATTTTCAAGAAATATTTTAAGATGAAGGAGAAGATAAGAAAAAAAAAGTTAAGATCGTAAGTTAATAATATGTATTATTATCATCAAGGGTTGCGGTAGGATGGATAAAAACTCTTTAGTCGTAATTTTAATTCTCATGTTCAAATATTGAGGATAAATAACCCGATAGAAAATAAAGAGAGAAAAAACTCTATTAGTCTAACATTCTTTTTCAGAACCGATGGTGTAAAATGGTCTTAACTTTTTGCCTCAATATTGAATTAATGAACGATTCAATTCGTTGGAAACTAGACTCAAAGACCGATATGACAATGTGATGCCTCAAATGTGAATATCTTTTACTAAAAATCTTGTGCTTCTGGAAAATCTAAACTTCTTCAACACTTTAATTCTCAAACTTTCTATTGTCAACAAATAATTTTTTACAATCCACAAACCATTTTCATATCAAATTTGCTTCAATTATAAGTCTAAAAAGTTGCCTCATTATGAGATTCACATTCTACCAACTTCACCTTTTATTAACATTCTTAATTAATCCATCAGTTCAAAATCCAATCTATATATATTCCAATCATCTTTTCACATATTTACAATCCATAGCAACTTTAATTTATTTATTTATTCCCCCCAAAAAAAATGTCTAAGCAAAGTGTGAGGAAACATCATGCATTAGAGAAACATAGAGAAAAAGAAAAAACAAGAAGCAATAATATTAGTAGTAATTTCTTATTATCTAAACATTGGAAAAAAATTTACCCTATAGGGTTACATAAAACAAGTTCTTCTCTCTCACTTTCTTCACTATCTTTATCTTTATCACAAACTTCAAATGATTCTTCGATTACTGATTCTTCTTCAATCACTCCATTGGATCAAAAAATCTCTCTAGCACTACGATTAATCGCGTCATCAAGGGAGAAAAATGAGGGTTCGAGCATGTCCAATAAGAACGTGGCTCGAATGATTAGTCCAAACCCTAATCCAAACCCTAGTAGTGAAGAAGAACTCATGAGAAGGTGCAATTGGATAACTAGTACTAGTGGTAAGTTTCATAAGTAGTTTCAATTTTACTTTTCTTTGAAATATTGCTAATATTTTAAAATGTCTTATAATATAGTAATTTCAGATTTTCATTTTATATGATGGCGTTTGATTTATCTTTTCTAATGATGATATTTGATTGTGGATAGAACTTAAAAGAGATGTTATTTAGACTTTATTAAATATAATGAGCATAATATAATATTATTACACAATCAAGTTGAATCGATCTATAATAACATAATTAGTAAAGTCAGGAATTTTGATAGTCAAATTTGAGATTTAATATATTTGTATAACGAGTGATGTTTGACCTATACATATATATAATTTATTGACCACGAGGGCGATCAAGGCCATGCATAGTTTTGTGATTCTTTATGGCACGTCTAATATGATAATTTGAAAAATAAAGTAATAACTTACTTAACTGTCTAATATTGTTTTGTTTATAGTATTTGGAAGTGGAATTATTTGAATTATTAATAAATTGACACTTACTTTGTACCAAATTATCTTGACATAATTGTAAGATTAATTTATTTGAATTTAATTTGTTATATGCAGATAAGGTTTATGTGCAATTCCATGATGAATGTTGGGGAGTTCCTGTTTATGATGACCAGTAATTAATAATTTTATGATTAATTTTGGAAGTCATTTTACTAAACTTATACAACATTGAAAATATAGAAAATTTTATTAACAAATAATTTTTTCAATTAATTAAACAGTCAATTATTCGAGCTTCTTGCATTATGTGGAATGCTTATGGATTTCAATTGGACTGAAATTTTAAAGAGAAGGGAACTAATAAGGTACATAAGTTCTCCCCCTTTCAATTTATATAATTGATGATAGTGTGATTTTACTTTTACGTCATTACTAATGGTGGATTCAGAATTTGAATTTTATGCATCTGGAATTATAGCATTTTCAGTTATTGGATCTAAGCTAATACTAATATACACATAATTAGTGAATTTCGTAAGACAACATTATATTTAGTTTAAAATTATTAGATGTCCTGAATTTAAAGTCAAAATTGTACATGTAATCGATATGATTTAACTTGTTATAGCACGTAATATATTGTACTTTTTTGGGTTATTGATTCCACTTAATTATTACTAACAATTATTCGTAATTACCTTTTAAAAGACCTGATCTTGTAATAATCTTTTAGTAATATAGGTGTAATTGAAGTAACATTTTTTTCTTAATGTGTGGAATATATAGAGAAGCATTTGGTGGATTTAATGCAAATTATGTGGCCAAAATGGGGGAGAGTGAGATTGAAGAATTAATCTCAAATCCATCACTCAATTTAGCAGAAAGCAGAGTTAGATGCATAGTTGACAATGCCAAATGCATAATCAAGGCAAGTTCCAAATCTTTTAATTTAGGGAAAATGTACAAGTACCCGTGAACCTATGCCCGAAATTTCAGAAACACACTTATACTATACTAAGGTCCTATTATTCCCATGAACTTTATTTTATAAGTAATTTCTTACCCCTTTTCGGCTTATGTGGCACTAGGTTGAAAAAAAAGTCAACCAGCGTTGACCCCACAAGAAAGGGCTACGTAAGCCGAAAAGAAGTAGAAAATTATTAATAAAATAAGTTCAGGGGATAATAGGACCTTAGTATAGTATAAGTGTGTCTCTGAGATTTCTGACATAGACTGAGAACATAAAAAAAATAATCATTGTCATAGAGTTTCAAATTTGATATACGAAATTCCATGATATGAAAGTGGCTATTTTTTCAATTACATGACTGAAAAGTGACTAGCCCGCGCTATTACTAAAATTTATTAAGTTGTTAACTTAATCATCTTTTTTTTCCTCATTAATCAATTAACCTATGCAGATTGTGAGAGAATATGGATCATTTAGCAGCTACATGTGGAATTATGTGAATTATAAACCTATAATTAACAGATTTAGACATCCAAGAAATGTTCCATTAAGAACACCAAAAGCAGAAACAATTAGCAAAGATTTATTGAAGAAAGGATTTAGATTTGTTGGGCCAGTAATTGTTTATTCATTCATGCAAGCTGCTGGGATGACAATTGATCATTTGGTTGATTGTATTAGGCATAAACATTGTGTTAATCTTGCTGAAAGACCATGGAGGCATGTATGAGTTTAATTTATTTTAATTATGTATGCTTTTTATTTTATTTTAAGTTGTTTTTTTGCCAACAAATTTAGTGTAATTCACGAGTGAAATAATTACCTAGAAAGAGTGGTGTGTGCGCAGACTTGTTTCTATTATGTGAATGTAGAGAACACTAGCTTTTGTTTATAACAATATATTCAGTGTAATTTACGAATAAAGTCTGGAGAGATTGGTGCGTACACCGTCTTGTTGTTGCCACTAGTTTTGCTTGAAAGAATGTAATCAGTATAATCTTATGAGTGGTATCTGAAGAGAGTGGTGTGTACATAGTCTTGTTTTTGTCTTGTGAATGTAGAGAGATTGTTTTTGGCAAATGGCTTTACTCGTATGTATCAATTATGAGTTGAATGGTGTATTTAGTTCCATGTTTATTTTTAATTATATAAAATTGTAAATTGCATTTTTTTATTACTAATTATGAAGATGTATGGTATGTGCTTATAAAGTATATATTATCCATGTTGTGTGTGTGTTGTATTTTGTTGTATACATTAGGAAATACCATTTTGGTAAAGCTAATACTTGTAGCTTGTTTGATCAAGTCATTTTTTTTGTATTTTGTTATATATATATATATATATATATATATATATATATATATTTTTATTTTTTTTATTTTTTTTTTTTTTTTTTAAAAAAAAAATATAAAATATTAGAGAGTTAATAGTCCATTAAAATGAGGTGGATATTGTGCATATATTTGTGGTTCATTGGGCTTAGCCACTTTAATGGGCTTTTACTATGGGCCTTATAAAATAAGAGGATATTGATACAGTTGTATACATATGTTATATTTTGCTTTTTCAATTTATTCTGCTAAATGAAGAATACGATAATGAGAGTGATAATAACAATACTGGTTAGGAAACTAGTCAATATTCCGACACCTACTAACCTTCTACCTTAATGTTTGACCTTTATACCCTCCTATATAAAGTCATGTACTCGATACAGTGTAAAAGTGTACATCCTATCTACCTCCACCTCTCTTCATACCCTTCATAGCCGATCTTTCACGCCTTCTCATTGATCGGGGAATTTGTGCATCTTTTCTTCACGTATCTGAACCATTTAATTTTAATTTCTCCTCCCTCATCTTATCAACCACGAAGGTCACTCTTACTTTGTCCCGAATATCTTTGTTTTTTGATCATATCTCTTCTTATTATATCTTCACTTCCACCCCAACCTCATTTACAAGACTTTCCTTTTTTGAATTTACATGAATCTTGACCGACCAACACTCGATTTATATAATATGATAATCATTTTATAAAACTAAACGTCTAAGTCTTCGTGACACATTCTTGTTCACAATATTCAAATAGAGAATCCGTTAAAAGATTAGTTTTTAAACTTACAGTAATTTGTAGTTGACCCAAAAAACAAAAATAAGTAACATTTTAAATTGTTACATACAAAAGAAGAAAATAAAAGTTCTTTGGAATTTTCAATAGGTCTAAAGGTCCTATTAGTAGTTCAGTCGATGTTATCAATGTCTTAATTAGTTACACAATTAAGAAGAATTTTATAGTTCAAGAAATGACATAAATGTTATAATTTTCAAGATTAGCAAGATAATATCAATTATCACCCTTTAGTCATCATAAAGCAAGTAGACAACTTTGGACCCCCCACCCCCACCACACCCCACACACCATGTTCTCTATATACATATATACCATAATAATTATTACGTCTTGATCTCAAACATGTATATCGATGGACGCAAGTGGTTTGAGCCAATTGTGGGCCGGCGCCACGCGTATAGAGTAGTTGGAAGTTTTTTATAAGTACGTAATTACTATGTTTGCATACATTACATTACTTTAAATTATTGAGTTTGCTACAAATTTTCATCTCTGTGTATAAAAATCTTATTATACTAATTAATTTTTACATTTGTGTATAAAACATTCATTCTACTAGATAATTTTCATTTTGAATCGATTATATCCATCTGATTTATATTATATATGCATTCAGACAAATAATATTATTATAGAAAGATTTGATTATCGCTTTCTAAATTGAATCAAAATGTACATTCTCATCTTATATTAATTGTCCCTTATATAATAAATAGTTATCCCGAATTACTTGTCATCGAAGGTATAGACTAATGTCAAACATGTTACACCCACAAAGCTTCTCACCCCTCCCAAACCCTACCAACCCCCAAACAAGAAGTTATATAGTAGTACAAATAAAGCCCAATCAGAGATGAGGTTGCCACGTTTGCTCTCATCCAATTTCATTTTTTTTTATTAAAAGTTATTTCCTTGTGTGCTTTTCTTTCTAGTCAATATTGAGTAGCCGACCAACATGAGTCTATAGTGTAATGACATAATTATTTTATTTTTAATCAAAAGATTCAAATCTAGTAAAAAATGTTATTCCAAAGTGAACATTGCAGTTGATTCACTAAAATAAAAATTAACTTTTAACGACATTAAATATTGACATCAATAAAAAATGCGTAAGTCTTTATCAACATTAGTTAAGTGTCATTAGAATCAATGTCGCTAAAGATTTTAAGAACATATGCAAAGAGTGTTAATTGCTACTAACAATCCATATTTAGTGGCGATTAAAAATTAATTATCGCTAATAATCATTTTTAACGTAATATGATGATCTATATTTAATTGAAACTCCAATATAAGCTCCAAACACCGACTAAACGACCAAAAGAAGACATTGAGCAGCCAAAATATATCTTTTATGTTTATGTATACCTTTTATTTTGCTTTGATTATATACTTCACGCATAAAAACCGTTTCTTGATTACTAAAAAAGAGAGACCATTTTGACGCAGACATCCACCAAACTTTCAACCTTATCACTTTTTCTTTATCTTGCTGTGTTTTAAACGGTTCTCATTCTGTTAACAACAAAGATTTTACATACCACCAAAAATGACAACTTCACGACTAATTCCTCGAGATACCTATAACCTCGGGCCACATGGCTTAGGAGGCCATACGTAGGGTCAAGGAACGACCCTACTGATGTGCAATCGATATCATTCAAGAATGACAATTGACAAGCAAACAAACATGATTTTCTTTACCACAAACATATTCTAACAACTGTGATGTTATAGTGTGTGAACTTCTCACTACACTGAAGGGTCAACTGGTCCACAAAAAGGGACCCTACTACACTGCACTTTTTCTCATTCATTCACACAAGTGTAGTTTCTTCCCTTTTTAGGAACTATTCGAGGAAGGACACAACAGCTCATATCATGCAAATGAACACTACATGACAATGTATACACTAACACAAACATCCAACATTTACACAAACTTTTTTTTCTTTTATTTTTTTAGGATTCCATTCTACAAATTATTTATCTAACAAGTCGTCGTGACAAACTGAAAAGGAAAAAAATGAAGACATCAAACAGAAAAAAGAAAGAAAAAAAAAAGACACCAGTTCTACTCGGCACTTCCACTCAGGTGCCTCAAAAATATTTACAGCATCTCCTATTATAGCTACTGCCGCCCTATAACTTCTTCTTTAAGGGAGCACATAACCACTTAACCAAACCTAAGCTAGATATCCTTCACTTCCACCACCAGACTGCGCGGAGTTATTTAGGCATTAACTCATACTAGTAGTGACATGTCGTGGTAGTAGTACCCACACCCTGTGATATCTCAAAACTGGCAAGAAGTACCAAGCCTTTGTATCTGCCTCTGACCAAGGGCGACTGACTTGCGCTTGGCAAAAGCTGGGTACAGTAGCTCCTGGAACTTCTCTAGAAACAGACGCCATTCCTCTTCACCCATATCTGCTAGCTTCACAAAGCTGGAACTCACAGGGAGCTGCTCATTCGCACTCCTGTGGCCAGATGAAGAGTTGGCGAGATGGGCATTTTCTGGTTTGGTTCCAGAAAAATAAGGATGCTTCTGGTTCTTGTCACCTAAACTAATATTCTTGAGGGACATTGATAGTTTTAACTCCTCCACATTCTTTGCGGGGGCTGGAACACAGTTGACGCTTGTATCCTCCTCCTCTTCACTTTCTTCTTCCTCGATGCTTTCATCTAGCTTAAAGAGTTGAGTGCGGCCATTTCCTCCTCCAAATGGAAACTGAAACGGGTTCCTGCTCACGAAGTCCTCAGAGGCCATTTTTGGACTAGAACCGTATCCTGCTTCCTCATAATCTATGTCAAATTGGAACTCCTCCTCATCAACTTCAGCCTTTGGAGACAAAATCTCTCTCTCAGCAATCAACCGTCTGGCCTCCAAACAAACTACTTCAAGCTCGCTCGGTTCTTCTTCCCCACGACGAAATTCCCTGCTCATCATCTCACCAATCTCTGCAAGGCAAAGTCCATAAGCAGCAGCTTCCTTGAGGAAAATGGTGGACAGGACCAAGACGCGAAGGCAGGCTTCGCGAATCATAGGGAGCTCACTTTTCAGCATATCAGAGTCACGAACAGGATCAAGTTTCTCTATGTACTTGAGTTCATCATCTGAAAATGGAATGGATGCCTGAGGCCAATGAATCCACTCAAAATACGGGTCTTCCAACGTTTCTGGTAGACAGAGGCCATGGTCGATGGGAATTAACTCTACTTGACCAAACATCCCAACACCATCAAGCTTCCTAACTAAAAGATTTCCTGCATGCCTGTCTGTGTTAAATATCCTGATGTCTAATATCCCAATACGGTGCACAGCAGCAACAGGGAAGCTTGATGTTCCATGGTCACTGGCATCAAAATCATGAGGGATGAATTGCTGCAAAGATGCGATCTTGCTGACGAGTTTCTTCTTGCTAAAAGGCTTATCTCCATTAACACCGTCATTGATATTAAAAATAGAATGAGTGATTTTTACCAATGCAGTGGCTGGCACATTGGCAAAATGATCATAATCGAGAAGATATGCAGCAACCTCCCGAAACCCTGTTTCTCCGACCCTAACTGAACGCTTTAAGCCTGGCTGTCCAAGAGCTTTGCCAACAAAACCTTTAGGATTATTTGGTGCAAACGGCTCTTCATCTGTTGGCTTGACAATAGCAACACTCTCACCTCTGCTGTTTCTAAAATAGTATGCGCCTCCAAGTCCACTATGGACTGGAAGTGGATCAACTCCAATCTTGACAGCCTTCACAATCTCCTTGACTAGTTGTTTTGTCTTGGCAAAGTGACTAGAGTTCCCCAGTATTTCTATAGGGCCACTCTGATCTCTCTGTTGGACATCCCTCCCAGTAGGTGAAAGACATGGAGTCGATGAACTTCTATGCATAAAATTCCTCGTCAGCAGTAGAGGGGAATCATTCCGAATGGCACTAAGGTCATTCTTCAACACCACATCTCCAAATGTTAAAGAACTCTCCTCAGTTGGAACATTGAGAGCGATCTGCAACCTCCTCTTCACAGTATGAGCATTGTCACTACGGTCCAACTCCATCCCCAGCACACAACCAGTGTCAGTTTGCACAAAAACCCGTCTCCTCCCAGTAGATTTCCCTTCCATCCTACTGCTTCCATGGTACTCTCCACCAAGCGGACTCTTAAATACTGCTACAGCCATCTGAGTTTGAACAGGACTGTCCAAGTTAGGAGACATACAAGGAACACCGTCCTAAGTCTCAATCACAAAAAGAGATGGTGGCAGGAGAGAGCTTCCCGACACGCTCAACTCAGAAGCCGATTGTGCACAAACCACCAAAAGAATCAATCCAGAAACAATCATCAATCAGGAAAAGAGGAATCAAAAACCAACCCCCAAAGATATCACCACTGGACACAAGAATACAAGAACACTATCACTCGCACGTCAAGTTGTTTTGAACAGCGAATGATGAAGATCCCAAATGTTACATCGAAAGAGCCATCTGCTGATGCGGATAATAGCACTGAACAATAATCTGTAAACACACACAACTAAATTAATCCACACACTTGATCAACAAATAACCAAAACCCAAAGATCAGCCAAATACAATATTTTACATAAACAGAACTACTTATTCAGAACAACACCAATAACAAACCTCACAAGATCTTCAAGATCCAAATAAACAATCCTCTTAACACTAAAAACTTACATTTAACAGTCCTTAATACTCGAGAAATATAGCTAAAAAACTCAAAACATCCTGAATCAACTAGCACCAATTTCTGAAACTCTTTTCAATACACAATAACATTAACACACTATAATTACGTTCAACTAAGATATTGACAGCATTTAACACTCGAAACTCGAAACTCTGCTTTTTTTATCCAATAACATAGAAATACAAACAAACAAATTTTCGCATATCAATTACTTACATTTACTACTCAAAACTCTCATTTCCATTTAACTACATAACAACAAAAACTCGAAACTGTGAATAACATCACTAATATCGCTACAAATCACTTATCTGCCATGAACATCCACAATTAACAGATCAAACGAAATCCAAATGAATACATCAGTTCAAAAAAAAAAAACTTACCAGATGACCAGATCTGAGAGAGATCGTGCCTCTATATCTCACTTTTTTTTCCGGCACGAATACACCGTCTTTCTCTTCACCGCCGATTGAATACTTCAGTTCAGCGATGTAGACGGTCTGATTCCGGCAATCACAAAACCCCTCTTCTCTTTCTCCGGCTATTTTCTCTCTCTCTGTCTATCTATATTTCTCTGTCTTACAATATTCTGTATCTATATATCCAACAATGGATTTAATTTTTAATTTAATTTAATTTATTTGTTTATTATTATTTATTTATTTATTGCGAGTTAACTAACCATGGTTTATTACAAGGAAAAGTCTAGAATATCGAAGATTAGCCGTTGGATCTAAATGGACGGTGAGATTTAGCGATCCAATGAGGGGAAGGTGACGTGGAGATAACTGATTGGAAGATGATGTGGCGGGTTGAGTATTGACAAGTGACGAAACGAATCGGGCGGGGATTTTACCATTTTCAGAGACGGTGAGTGATTGAATGACGGAAATAACCTTGATTTGACAGATATTTATTTTTACCTGAAATATATGGGTTTTGACGTATCCCTTATATTTCACGAGAGAAGTATGAGTTAAAGTTATGTTAAATATATTAAAATATTTTTTAACTTTGTAATTTTAAATATATCACGTGAAAAGTTAAAGTGTTGGCAAAAAAGAAAATGAATCATTTTTTTTAAATAAACTAAAAAAAAATAGAAATATTCTTTTTGAAACGAAGAGAGAAATAAAATATGATGATCGAAATCGGCAACGTACTAAAATCATGAGAGCAGAGGATAGTAAAAACAATATTGAGCGAGGAAACTATACGATTCATTAGTACTCTATCTACTAACTTTCTATTATAATTATCTGCAATGTTCAAGTTTTTCTATCTAAAATTATGTTTTATGTAGGTGTGTTACATATTTTGTCTAATAACTACTAATCACCATGAATACTTTCACAATCTACTTCTAACTACTGATCACCATGAATACGTTCAAGATATCTCATGCTTCCGTGTATGTTTGCATTATGCATTTGCCTCTTCACACGCTAATTTTATTATATCTTAAATATATTTATTCCTTGTCATATCTCAACAAATCTGTCTCTAACTTCTTCATTTATGTTACTTTCATCTTTTAACATCTAATTAATATTTTTTAAAATTTAATTAATTACTTTTAAATTTTAATAACATATTTTTATCACATAATAATATATTGAATAAAGTTATTTAATTTAATTACATTCGATATAAATAAATATTTATTTTGAAACGTATGGAAATTTTATAGGTCAATGAATTGAAATTAGAGACTTAAATGTATGTGAAGTCATTGCGGTCACGTTCGTTTGATTAAAAAAAGAAAAAGAAGCAAAAGTGTGTTGATATAATTAGGGGTCATCATCATGAGAAAAAAATTAGTGTGTTGATATCATATCATTTCAGTCCTCATCACTTTGTTTCCAATTTTTTATTTTTTTTTAAAAAAAAGACAAGTATTTTTTTAAATAGTAGTAAAATATGAAGAAGAAAAAAATTCCAAAAGCAGAAGTTGTTTTAAATAATTATATTTGTCATCGACTAATTATTATTCTTATATATATTGGTAAAAAAAATATAATTTACAAATTGATCAAGTAAACATGAATTTCTACTCATATATCGTATTTTTCTGAAATTACTTTTGAGTTTTTAGAAGTTGCATACTACGTATTAGTTATATACTTCTCATTTTACTTTCTGTTGTAGGTTTTAATAAATTTTTCATGTTTAAATCCTTTTATGAATATTCAAGAGTTAATTTATGAGAAATTTAAGATGTTTTTAAAAAGAAATGTATTACTAAAAAATGAAGAATTAGCAATTGATAGATTTCGTAGCTAAATAACAAAATTTTTATGTGAATCTTATTAAGTTATGATTAGTAATTGCCGAGAGATTTCAGCTAATTAACTCCATGTTTTCTTATAGTGATATAAGTCGTGTAACTTTTTATAGAGATGCGAGTTAGAGTAAAATTCTAACAAATATTGAACATGATTTGTTGAGGCCAAAAATCAAATAATATTTTTGTCTAATATCAACATATATTAAGCGCTAATTAAGTTTGTAGGTTCATTGAATCTAGTCAAAATGACAAGTAACGTTTTAATTTCACCATTTCTCAAAATATTAGGTGTTTTCTTTTTATAACATGTCTAATTAAATATTTGGTGAGTAGAATTATTGGGCATTTGTTGTTAGTGGAAATTATTTGATACCTTACGTTATGATTAAAAAGGGGAAGAACTACTAATTTATAACAGATTAGCACAATGTAAATCTTAATTTGTGGAAAAATTATCTTTTTGTAAGTCTCATATTTTTGTCTCACTTAAATTACTAATTATATCTAGTTCTAAAATCAATAGTACACAAATGCATAGATGAGACTTATATTTTTTTTTAAAAAAAATGGAACATGATTTGTCATTAAGTATAAGACTAATCATATAGATTCAAACTCTATTAAGGGCTTCTTATTAATTTTTAGTCGATAACATTATAGTTTTTTAAGACCCTATATTTGGAAGCTCTTTCGAAAAGACTTTTCAATTGTTGATCAATAAAATGAGATGATCAATCTAAATAGAAGCGTTATTCATTCATTATTAATTTTTTATAAGATTATTTGTAACGATAAATAACATAAGATACTCATTTTAGATGTGCACTCTCAACTCTCAAGGTAATAACTTGAAGGCATGACTAGTCAAAAGCACTAAAGTTAACAAAATATGAGAATTAATTGAAATTATTAGGATTGATGTGATATATGTATGACTAAAATAACCAAAGATAATTACTAGTTTTTTAAGTTATCAAAAAATACATTGTTCTCATCAATTGACTTGTTATTTTCTCCATCCTTATCTAACATGTATATACAAGCATAAAATATAAAAATAGTATTTAAATTTGATTTTATCATGACAAGCAAATATTTTAACTTTGAGAGTGTATAATCTAAACACTTTAATTTGATTTTAACTGACAATTAAATACTCAAAAACGTATTATCATTGTGTTTGTCCATAGACATATGATGATGCTGACGTAACACATTCTTTTCAAATTGTCTAGATAATAATTTTATAAGCTGGAATATTCGATTAACATAGTAGATATAACTTAAGGCATCTAGATGTGCACTCTTAAAATTAAAATACTTGTCTTTTCTATGAGTTATATATATTATGCATAATTAATAATCAAGGAAACACCAAGGGACATGCACTCATCACGGCATGTTAAGGAGTTTGGTATATGTTTAATTAAGTTAATTAATCCTACGTAATTATCCATAAATATGAATGGAAGTTCAACTAATTTATTTTATTAGTAGAAGTTTAGACTTGTAGTTCAAAAAAGGCACTACAAACGTGCAAGGTGGTAATTTATATGTTTGTGGGAGAAACTTCTTCACATAAACAATGACGTGCAAAACGATAGTTGACTCATACAAATGATTACAAAAAAAATTTTAATTCGATATTTGATATTTATATTGAATCTTGATTGATTCAAATCAATGAAGCCTATTTTTAATGATAATAAAAAAAAATTATAGTTAAAACTCGAATAGTCAAACCCAAAATTATTTTATTAAAAATAAAAAATTACTAATATTTTACCACGGCTCAAATTAAGTTGACTAATCCAAGTGAATTATGAAACTTGCATCTACTTTTTGAGCTTTTAACTCATGCATTTTTTTTAACTTAATTTTTAAATGTTTTTTTTTATTTGATTGAGAGTCAGATCAAAATAATTTAGTTATTGCATAAATATAGATGTAAATATATGTATATTTTTGTTAAAAATATATATATTAGTATATTATTATAGTATTATCAACAAATTAAAAGTAGAAACTATTAGATTAAACAATAGTAGTAATATATATAGCTCAAGTTGGCACTTAATTAATGTATAAAAATCATTTATACGTAGGAAACTATCTGAAAATCTTATCTTTCTGTCTCACGTAGAATATAACAAATAACATACAAAAATTATAATTGCATAGAAATCTTGTACGACATTATTTTTTATTTTATTAATTTTCTTGGACATGAACTGAATGCAAAATTATAATATAGTTCATCCACTTGTCATAATTACAAGGAAAATGTATTAATTAAGCTCTAATCTTATCAAGATCTTTGAATCTAGTCAAAGATATAATAAGTAGTAATTAAATTGTTGTTTTATTTACTTCATTTTGTGCTTACTACTATTGGGACAAAGTGATTATAGAGCTACTAATTAATTAAGTAGACAACATTATAATTTACCTAAGAGCTAAAAAATTATTTAAAGGATATATCCATGCACGAACCGTAGAGTTAAATCAATTTAATGACACTATAATATTATGTGCATTAGGTGAAATTCAAATAATTTTTAGATAATAGTGCAATTCATTAAGAAGATATTGCTATACCATATATATTCTTTGTCCAGAAATGTTTGTCATGTTTGTCATGTTACACTTATCGAAAGTCAATTTGATCAATTTTCAAAAGTAAATCAGATCACATTAATTTAATATTTTAAACAAAAAAATTATGACAAATAATACCGGACGAAGAGAGTAACTTTTTATTTTGTTTTTATCTATTAATAAGTGAACTTGTTTATACACTCGATAATTGTATGAATAAATGTCAATCGAGTATTTATAGTCCACAAACTACACTAACTTTTTTTTAAAATTTTTTTTTTCAAATTTACGTTATACTGAAAAATGTAATAAAACGACTCATATACGAGCAAAAAACTAAATTGTGTCCCACGTCATCAATACTCTACCATACCTATATATATACTCATTTTATTGAATCATTAATTAAAATAATTCAAAATTATTTTTATTATAATGCAAGATTATGTATTTTTAATTAAATTCATATGATTTTCTTTAATATAAATCTCATATTATTAAGAGTATCACTAACATGATTTTTTTTTTATTTCCGTTCGGTATCAGGAGTCCACATTGAAGCTAGAGTATCACTAACATGACCTTTTATTTATTTATTTTCACTCGGTGTCAGAAGCCCATATTGGAGCTCTGGTTAAATTTAGATCGCATTCTACAAGGCTCATTCGGATGACCTCCTAACAGAATCTTCTCATACT